GGGAAGGAGGCAGTCCCGCTCCCCCCTGGCGGCGGAGGCTGCGGGCGGGTTTTGCCGCTCGGGTGAGAGCTGAGGGGAGCGGCGCGCGCTCCTCGCACCGCAGCCAGGACGTGCGGCCGCGGGAAGTTGGGAAGGAGCGAGAATTCGATCGGGTGCTGTGCGACGTGCGGCTCAGTCAGTTAAGACTCTTCAGCCCGGTAAAAAACCGCACCAAACCTCCTATGGCAAGAGACTGTAAAACGGTAAACCGTGTTAAAGAAAGTAGGTCGGTGTTGGTCTTCACTGCCTCCGCTGACACGGCAACTGCGAAGCGTTGGACCGTGCCGACAAGAGGCACATGCACAACGGATAAAACAGATGGTCCTTGGTGTGAGACCCAGCTGTGCAGTTCCTCACCGTGGGGTGCTCTGGATGCCAGAAGCTTTCACGAGTTCAAAGGGAGACTGAACAAGTTAACACAAATGCTCAGAGGCTTGTGAAATACATAGAAACTATCCATGCTGTTCATGAAGATACAGGAACTAAATGTTGATAGCATAATTCATTAACAAGCAGGGAGTGATCAAAGGCTAGATAATTAAAGATGTATTGCATGCAGCAGATTGTCTTCGGAGTTGCATTGATACAAGCCATTCTTAAAGTCTACTGGACCTTAACTATAACTCTTCTTCAAGACCTGTTGACTGTATTTAAGCTTACACTGTGGGACAATGTTCAGTCCTAGTAGTTGAAGTTTTTATGCACAGTTGTATCTATATGGCCAAATATGTGCTCTGTATCTCTTGCTGGTGTATGTGTGGTCATAAAGGATACATTACATGCTTTTATCTTCCGTTATGCCTTAATATTGGAGTCCCAAGACATGAAGGCATTGTAGAGAAAAAGGTTGGTACACCAGGTTGTGAGAATTCACATAGGCTGTTCCTCTTGGACAGTTAACACATGTAAGTAATTTTTATTCTTCCTGGTTCTAGGAATAGGTGGCTTAGGAAGAAATGCCAAGTTGATATCCTTATTCAGATGAAGCAGTGAAATTGCTTGAAGAAGCAGTTTGGCTTTGGGTGTGTAACTGGGTGTTCACATATTTGCATTGCCAATAAAGAAAACTGTTCATGATGGGGCCTGAATTGCCTTTACCGTCTTAAGTGAAGAAATGGTTCTAGGACAGCTGTGTTACCTGAAAGGTTGAAGGAGAAAAGACTCTGGATAAGGTTGAAAGACTTCTGTGATTAAAGATGTGAGCCTGGGATTATTTCCTACTTCCATTAAGAGCATGACAGTTCCTTACCAAACTCTTAAAAGAAATGTGTGGGTGTAGTAGGGCAAGCAAAAAGTAAGAAATCATCACCGTGTATGCTGGTGGTGATTAGTGGGAGAAACAGGCTCTAAAAGGAGCATGCTGTACCGTCACATTAAAAAAAGAAAAATGTTGGGAGTTATTTTAAGCAGTTTGAAAGGGGCTAACTTGTTGTTAAATTAGACTGGTGATAACTTTTCACTGGGGTGAACTGTTCTGTAATGCATAGGGTGGACTTTGATTGTCCATAAAAATTGTTGATTTAGTGTTCTAAATACTGGAAAATCAGATTTTGAGGCAGTTGGCAAAATGCAAAAATGAACCTGGTCAGAGGAAGTGAATTGTATCTTGTGGGACTTTTGATACTACTAAAAAACAAAATGTGGGACCTTTTGTTTCCATTTTGGCACTTTATTTGGAAATTTGTAATGTGTCGTTTTTGCCACGGGGTGTCACTAAAATAACACCGTGAGATGTCACACTCCATGTTTTTCTAGTTAAAAACTGTGGGCCTAACCAAAGGAACCCTTGTTCCCTTAATTAGAACCAGAATTTCCTAAAATATGTAAAGTGTGCGGAATACTAGGTGGATTGGTAAAAATGACAAGGGTCTGTTTGTGATGTGCTGAAGGTTAAAGTACACATGCAATAATAAATACCTTCCCAGAAAAATGGCTGTTTAAGACAAACCCAGCAAGATAATTAGAAATATTCTGGCAATAAGCAGAAAGAATTTATAAATACATACCGTACTTTATTTATCTCTTTGCTCAGTCTAGCAAGGACTGCATTATATAGGAAACCGTGAGATTTGGAGGGTGAGGTTAATCTAAGAGGTTGTGCAAAGCCATACTAATGACATCTTCTATGTGGACCTAAATAATCACGTTTCTGGATTGGACTTGTTAAAAGTCCTATGTTTCAACTGTTACTGTGTAAATCACATACCTGCAAAATACAGTGATTATTATTTTTGCTTTTGAAAACAATTCTATGTATGATTTTCATTCTTTCTTTGATCAACAGAGCTTTGTTTAGTACACAAAAAGCAAAATAACTCCTCTGCACAATGTTAATCAGCATTAATGTTTAAGACAGAACTTGCCATATATGTCACTTAGAGAAAACCACAGATATACCAGAACAGAACCAATGAAAAATACATAATTTCACTCCTAAGATGAATTTTGAAAACCTGAAATGCTCCTCATCACATCACTTCTGGAGACAAACATGGTAATGCTGAATCTTCTCTGGTGATTTCCACCATACCAAAATGGCAAAGCAAGACTTGTACAAAATCCAGGATGGGGAAAGGAAAATCAAAGGACTTGTTTCTTTTGCTTTTTTTCTGGAAGTTAAAATTTTCCAGTTTCTTCTCTGTTTTTGGGTGGGGATCATATTTCAGAGAAGTATTACTCACTCCTAATCTCCAAAAAGGTGAGCTCTATCCATGAGTGCTTTATAGTGGCTGCTTGCCAAACAACCTGGTCATTCATCAGGACTGTTTCCAGAATAGAGAATCTGTGCTAATGCCTAACAGAGAAGAGAGTACATTTTCTCTGGTTTCTCAGCTCGACTTTGGGACAACCTAAAGCAGCCTCTTTCAAAGACTGATTGTATTCGTGCCCAACACAAGCAGGCAATAGGAGCCACAGGATTCAAAAAGCCTCCTTACCCTTTTCTCATCCCTTTCTTCAAAGGTGCCAGTCTTCTCATTCCTGTCTTGCTATTCCAAAAGAGGTGTGCAGCTAGAGGTACTGTGAATAAGAACTCCTATCTTGGGGTATAAGAAATCAGAAGAAATAATTTCTTTGCTGTGATTTTATTAGTGGAGCAAGAGAAAATGTAATTATCCTTTTAATATCTTGGTGTTTTAATTTTATGCTGTTTGTAAAACAGTTAATGTGTTAGTTGTAGCATTAAAAAATGGGTTTATCATATGTGCAAAGCTAATGCTTGACACTGTCAAGAAACAAGTGTAATGTTAAAAATATTTATTCTGGACAATACAGTTGGCACATATATCTTAAAAAATGTATTTAAATCAGGTGTTTTTTGTGTAGAAGAAGAGGTTTAATTAAAGGCAGGCTATTTTCACAAGATTAAGTCTTTCTTATCTGACACTTCTCAAGTCAGAGAGATTGCATGGCAATTGTTGGAGTTTTCATCTGTAAAAGTGTCTCCTTGTATATCAGTTTGTGAAATAAATTAATCTAATCAGAGTAGAAGTGTTCAACTGAACTCACTGTCTGTCCCAGCTGATCAGTTGTGGCAGTTTTACAATACCAGTCTTCTCTCCTAGTGCTGGACTGACAAGGCATGGCTGCTTGACTTTGCCTCTGAAATATTCTGGCTTGTAAGCATTGCTCATGCTGCCTTTCCCTGTCTTTTGAGACTTCCACATTAATCAGGGGTGAGGCCTATGCCGTGTGTGCAGATGGGCCAAAGGAGGTTAAAGTAGTTAAGGATGCTTTAAAATCAAAACCAAAGAATTCCAATCAAACCAACGATGGGAGGCATTATTGCATATGTCAGAGTATGACAGTCTGTGATAGTCACCCACCTCCCTGCCTCCACCCCCAAATAATATGCATTGTTGAACTATTATTTGAAGAAGTCATCTTTTTATCTGTTGAGGTCTGGAGAGAACATTATGTCACTTGAGGAGAGGCTTGGCTTAGCTCCCCCCTCTCCCAAAAAAAGCCATTCAAAAAGATACAGCAGCAACCAGTCACTCAACATTCGTCTTAAAACTGAAAAGAAATATGAGCACCTTTGACTTTAGTAATGTTTGTTGAGGAACTATGCTAAAAGTCATAAATCTGATATCTGAAAGTTTAATTTTCATAGATAAGAGTTACTCAAAAATCTCCCAACATGAAACCAAGTAGAGAAATAATTAAATTTCTATGAAGGCAGTGCTCATAAATATTTATATCAAAATTAATGGAAAAAGGATTTTACTGATAATTTTGTACAAGATTTTACAGTGTATCATTTTTTAAATGACTTTTTAGGATTATTTCTAACCTCTTATTTGGTTTTGCTTCTAGCATTTCAGTCATGCATATCTGTAAGGACAACAAGTATTATGATCATCATTGAATCATGCTATCACAGAATAGTTTGGTTGGGTTGGAAGGGATCTTAAAGATCACCTAGTTCCAACCCCCCTGCTCTGGGCAGGGACACCTTCCACTAGACCAGGCTGCTCAAAGCCCCGTCCAACCTGGCCTGGAACACTGCCAGGGAGGGGACATCCACAGCTGCTCTGGGCAACCTGTGCCAGTGTCTCACCACTCTCACAGTAAAGAATTTCTGCCTTACATCTAATCTAAATCTACCCTCTTTCAGTTTAAAACCATTACCTCTTGTCCTATCCCTGCAAAGCTTGATAATGAATCCCTCCCTGTCTTTCCTGTTGGCCCCCTTTAAGTACTGGAAGACCGCTATAAGGTCTACCCGGAGCCTTCTCTTCTCTGGGCTGAACAACCACAACTCTCTCAGCCTGTCCTCACAAGG